GCGTGTGCGTGTGCGTGTGCGTGTGCGTGTGCGTGTGCGTGTGCGTGTGCGTGTGCGTGTGCGTGTGTGTGTGTGTGTGTGTGTGTGTCCCTGGGCCCCTTCAAAGAGGCCTTCCCCCCCTCCATCTGCTCCCCTGTGCGCGCCCCCGCGCGGCTTCTGCTGCCAGGCCGCTGCCTCCCCAGACCTCGTCCAGTCAGGAAAAGAGTGCGACCACAGGTTTCTTGCTCTTTTTGGCCTCTGGGGGCCGTTGCCACACCGAGGGGCCGTCAAAAACGACTGAGGAAGAGAAGCCGGAGACGGGGACGGGGTCGAGACCTCTGGGGGCCGATGTCAGGAACAAATCATGACGTCGGGGGTCTGGGTGAATGATGAAGAAAGGCACCGCAGGTTCGCGTCGTGTCGACTGGCGGCGACCCCGCCGCCAGCGTTGCACTTTGAACGCCGCTGGCGACCCAAAATCGGTCGCTGTTGATCGTTCTGACGTTTCGGAAACGGCCGATCGCTCAAGGTCGAACGATACCCGGGGTGTCAGGAACCAGCGCCAGGGTCGGCACGACACCAACCTGCGGTACCGATGCCGCTACCCTTCCTTCTGCCCAAAGGTTTGGTTCGCCTCGAAATTCGGGTCAGATTCCAGGTCTGAACTCGGCCCCCTGGCAGTACCTCCGGCGGCGCCCCTGGCGCGCGGAGCGCGCCAGGGAAGGGGGCTCCAGCGTCGACCCAATAAGTCCGCGCGGACCTCCAAAGTTCATCCTTCATGCAATGTGTTGCTCCCCTGGATGCCGCGACCCTTCCCTTGTCGCCATGGTTGGATTCGCTTCGAAAATCGGGTCATAACGCATCCCCGGAGAGTTCCGCGGAGTAGCGGTATGGGTATCTTCTGTGCTCCACCCCTGGCGCTTGAGTCTCTGGGCGGGGCAAGACGGAGTGCGTGTCTCCAGGCCCCAGGCCCCACTCCAATTCGGCTTTAGCAGTTGAAGTCGGAGCATCGCGCCGCGTCGCCGATGCATGCGACGCCGTCCAGAACCATATTGATTTTCACTGGCGACGCGGTGCGACCCACCGACCCCGCCTGCAAGGGCGCCACTAGAGTTGCTTCCGATGCTGGAAGTCCAGGATGTGGCTGCTTGGGGGATTTGCGTTCGCGGAAGTTCCCCAAGGCGTTCTCGGTGTTTCTGCCGAGCTATTTTTGCTGGCATCATGGTTCGCGTGCATTGTGCGGACTACGTATGCGGTACTTTCAATTACCAGTGAGCGTGCCGCATCTAGATATGAGATCCTCAATCTTCATAACCCTTGAGTGCAGCTGCGTCGAAAGACAGAGGTGGCCCAGCGAACCACTCGACTCGAAGACGCTTGTCCCCACCCCTCTTAGTGGCCGCGCGTAGAAGCGTCGAACCCATCCCGGCGGGTCCCGCTCCCATAATAGGATCAGCGTGCTCCCTCGCAGAAACAGGCGGCACTTCATGTTTCGGGGGTACCTTCCCCGATCCGTAGACTTGGTGCGCCGGATCCACGGATCCGTAATCCATGTTCCAGAGCACCCGAGGTGAGGGGGGAGGTGGTTTTTCACCCGCTCCCGCCCATCCTTCCACGGAGAGGTTGAGCACCCCCGCGGAGATACCTACGCTTCGCGGCCTGGCACGGAGAGGTTGACCCCCTCCGCGGACGGCAGTGCCATGGTGCGAAGATAAGGCTGCTTCGCGCTTCACGAAACGTCAACTCTGGCGACCCATGCACAATCCAGACGCTGAAGGGACCACGATGAGCTCAGGAGGGGCTCCGGTTTTCGGGGCGTTGCTCACGTCCAGGTTCGGGGAGCCTATGTCTAACCGAGGCTCGCCGTGGCCAGGCAAGCCCCTCGTTCCTTATTCACCATTCCTTGTGGCAGCACGACGACTGCGTAAGCTAGATTTGCGCGGCACGGAACGCGAAGTCGGGTGACCCACGTAGGCCCCATGCACAGGGCGCCGCCAGGACGCCCGATGCTCGAGACATCGATTGGTACATGCTTCGGAAGTTCCCTGGTCTTCCTTTTCTCGGCGGCCAGCCCAGGGGGGGCACGAGAGGGGGGACGCCTTCTGAGACGGCGGCGGGGCGTCTCAGCAGTCCTCGCGCCGTCTGAGAAGCCGTCTGTTGCTTCGGAGAAGGCCTGCCCCCTCTCACTTCCCCCCCTGGGCTCGCCGCCAACTTCCCCCTGTGTCTCGAGGAGGGTCGTGACCACCTGTGTCTCCAGGAGGGCCGACCCCGACGCCGTGCAGCCCTCTGAGGCTCGCGTGGCTGCGCTCATAGGGCGCGTCCGCCTCAGAAAGGCGGCCCGAGCGGGGGCGGCAGGCGGCGAAAGTGGCAGAGGGGCGAGTGCCTGAAGAGGCCCCGTGCGCCACCCGCTGCCCCTCCGCCTTGCCTCGTCTCGAGACTCGTGCGCTTCGGCGTTGCCCTTCTTCTTCTTTTTATGTTTACGATTCTTATTATTATTCCTCTTCTTCTTATTCTTCTTATTCTTATTACTATCCTTCTCTTATGCTTCTTCTTATCATTATTATTATTATTCTGTTTTCTTCTTTTAAGTATTACGATTATGCTTCGTTTCCTTCTTTCCAGAACAACTCGCGCGAAGCAGGGCGCCAAAGAAGCTGGGCGCCGCCAGTGCGGGGCGCCGGCTCGCCAGCAGCTCCGGTAGCAGGCGCTGCCCGCCACCGGCCGGGCGGCCGCGGCCGCGGGCCGCGGGCCGCGGGGCGCTCCTGCGCCCCGGAGCAGTGCGCCCCGAGAGCAGGGGAACAACAAGTGGCATAAACATAAGAACTCGGAGGTCCGCGCGGATTTCTCGGATCGGCGCTGGGGCCCCCCGGCGGCGCCTGCGGATCCGCCCCTGGCGCGCTCCGCGCGCCAGGGAGGGGGGTCAGCGCCGACCCGAGAAATCCGCGCGGACCTCCGAGTTTTACATTGATGTCACTTTTTGTTCCCGGGCCCGAGGGACCTTAGCGAGATTCGTTCGCTTCGGCATTGTTCTTCCTCCCCTTGCCAGCTCGAGGCCTCATAGGTGGGGTCGGAGCAGATGGGGTCGGAGGATCACGCCGCATCGCCGATGCATCGCCGATGCGGCTCGATGCGGAGCCCGATTTTCTTCACGCGGACGTCGCCGATGCATCGCCGACGTCGACGTTGCATCGCCAATGCATCGCCAATGCATCGCCGATGCATCGCCGATGCATCGCCGATGCATCGCCGATGTATCGCCGATGCGGCGCGATCTTCCGACCCCATCTACTCCGACCCCATCTAGGAGGCCTCTGAGAACAACTCGCGCGAACCAGAAAGCAAGAAACTGGGCGCCGCCAGGACGGGGCGCAGGCCCGCCAGCAGCTCAGGCAGCAGGCGTTGATCGCCATCAGCCAGGCGGCCGTGGTCGCGGCTCAGGCCGCAGGGCTTTTTCTTTCAAGGGAGGAAAGCCGCCCGGACCGGACAACTGGCCTTTATTAAACGGCCTTGGGCGTTTACTAAACAGCCCTGCCCTCTTCGATTCCTCTTTTGGGCTCGTTTGCGAGAGGTCTCGCGTGTCGGGGCGGTTATTTACAGGGGTGGATGTTCTGCCCTCTACTCCTGCGCCCCGAAGCAGTGCGCCCCGAGAGGTCCCGAGGGGCCTTGGCGAGACCAGGGTGTGGCCCGACCGGGGAGGCCCAGAGCCTCGGAGGAGGAGCGGGTGCCGGCACCGCTACCTCACGACTCGGGAGTTCGTTATTCTCCAGTCCTTGGGCGCGGATAATTCCACAGTTCTCGGACGACTCTAGCTGTAGACCTCTCAACCCCTTTATTGGGGCATTTAACCTCGAGCTGGTTTTGACGGTGCTGAGGTCCAGAAGCGATTTCTAATGTTGTCTAATTTTCGCCGTGTTGTGCCTCCTGGGAGGCCCTCGTCGCCACGGCTAGATTCGCGTCGGAATTCTTGCTAGAACGCACCCTGGGCGAGGTCTTGGGAATAGCAGCATCGGAACTCGGCAGTTTCCAGCCTTCTGGGGCCCTTGTCAAGGCTTTCTTGGGCCATCACCCCGTAGGCCTACCGTGGTCGGGTGCTGGCCCTTCCGCAAGATTATTGCATCAGTTGGTTCGCCTGCCAACGGAGAGGAGGGAGGAGGATGGGGGAGAAGGAGGAGGAGGAGGGGGAGAAAGAAGGACGAGCTACGTGCGCTCGCGTCATATCTGACGTCTTACCCCTCCCTCCCATCCCTTACCATGGCGTAGATCTCCTTTCTATTTGCACAATCGAATGTTGTAGCATGGCATGGCATTACATGGCATAGCATGGTGTCGAATACCAACGCGTAGCATGACATAGCATGCCCCAAGGTGGGGGGGGGCTTCTGCGGTCCAAAAAATCAACGAAGCGACACCGAATGTTGAATCACTTCCGATGGTTTCTTCGGGAGGCCATTCTCTAGATTTGGGGCCTATCTGGAAGGACCGAAAACCATGCCAGGGCATGGCACTCGAAATGTTGACGCCAATGCTGCAGCGGGAGCACGATTCGGAGCGAGCGGAGGCGCGGAAATGAGGCCAGCGTTGCAGCGGGAGCACGATTCGCAACGAGCGGAAGCGCGGAAATGAGGCCAGCGTTGCAGCGGGAGCAGCATCCAGCGAGAGCAGCATCTTGAACAAAAGAATTCAGCGCGGAAGCGCGGAAATGAGGACGCGTAGCTTGACATAGCATGGCGTGGCGACGTCCCAAAGTGGGGGGGGCTTCCGCGGACAAAAAAATCAACGAATCGACACCGAATGTGGAATCACTTCCGATGTTTTATTCGGGAGACCATTTTCTAGATGTTGGGGCCGATTTGTCAGGACCGGAAGCCATGCCGTGGCATGGCGCTGGAAATAATGACGCCAACGCTGCAGCAGGAGCACGATTCGGAACGAGCGGAAGCGCGGAAATGAGGCCAGCGTTGCAGCGGGAGCACGATTCGCAACGAGCGGTAGCCAGAAACGGAGGCCAGCGCTTCAGCGAGAGCAGCATTTCGAAACAAAAAGCTCAGCGCGGAAGCGCGGAAATGAGGACGCGTAGCCTGACATAGCATGGCGTGGCGACGTCCCCAAGTGGGGGTGGGGGCTTCTGCGGCCCAAAAATCAACGAATCGACACCGAGTATGTCATGACTCCCGATGTTTTCTTCGGGTGTCAATTTCTTAGATGTTGGGGCCGATCTGGAAGGACCGAAAACCATGCCATGGCATGGCGCTGGAAATAATGAGCGCTGCAGCGGGAACACGTCGCGGTGGCCTCGAAAAGGGTGGTCCAGAATGCCGGAGGCCCGCCGGCGACAAGTCGAGTATTGGGCCATCGATCTCAAAGTTGAGCCACGGAAATCGTGCGTCGTTCGGTATTTCTTGCCCAGAGGTGTCCATAAGGTGGGGGGGCTCCTGATGGCCCTGCGCCAGAATGTCAGCTTGTGATGAACAAAGGGCATCCCCCCCTGGGGCTGATGAATCGATCCCGCGGGGCGCGAAACATGTTTTTAATCACGTGCGCCAGGGGGTCGTCGCTGGCGCCGCCGAGGGGATCGTGCACCCTCTTGCGTGACAGCCTCAAAACGATTGCCTGTCGTATAGAAGTTGTTATAAGGGTCGCACGCATGCGAGGCGAATTCTTTCCCCTTTCAGGCGTCGTCGTCGACGCCGCCACCGCCGCCGTCGTCGTAGTCGTTTCTTTTTCTTCGTCGTCCTCGTCGTCGTCGTCGTCTTCGCTGTGTCTGTGTCGTCGTTGTCGTCGTCGACTACAGTGGGCCTGCGCAGCCCCACCACCATAGGGCATCCGCAGTGCGTCGCCGTCGTTGCCGCCGCCGCCGCCGCCTGCAATCCGCCGTCCGTCGTCCTCGTCCTCGTCTTCGTTCTCCGTCGTCCTCTCTTCGTCATCGTCCTCGTCTTCGTCGTCGTCGTCGCCGTCGTCGTCGTCGTCGACGACTGCAGAGACCATGACAGAAAAGGGAGAGGAGGAGAGGAGGAGGACTGCCCGCCTTGCTCGGGTGCTCGGGTCGGACGAAAAGGTGGGGAAGGAACGGGGGAGTGCGAAACCTGCTGCGCGCAGCTGGTTTCGGTCGCCCCGCCGAGGTGCCAGTCCTCGGTGCATGGCCGCTTTCGGCGCCAGGGGGCGTTCGGAAAGTCAGCAATGTGAGCTGCTGCGCAAATCTTTTTAGGCCACGCCCCTCTTTCGTCTAGCCCGCCTTGCTCGCGGGCCCGCGAGGCAGCTGGCGCCCCCCTGGTTGCGGCCATGGCAAAAGAAACGCATCGGCTCGACAGAGAAAAAAAAACACGAAAAATGCGGGAGCGAGCGACGACAGTTTTTTTATTAATGTCATGTCAAACATGTGTCGCCCTGGCTCACGGTCCCTGCTTCTGCCGCCTTTGCCTCCCGCCCCATTCCCTTCGCCCAGTTTGTGTTGTCTGTCGCCTTTTCCGCTGGTGGTTTGGCGTCGGCTCTAATCACCGGCGTTGCCGCCGTTGATTTTCAATCTGGCGGGCGCCATCCCGCGATTCGCCCGAGCAGGGAATATGGTTTTCAACGCGCGCCCACCACGGATTTGTTAATCACAAGGTGACATTACTCTTTCGACCACCCCTTACCCTTCACAGCGGGTGCCAGCTGCTGCTGTCACGACTACAGTCGATTTTCGGTCAACGTTGTATGCTGTTTTGCGTTTCGTCGTTGTCGCCCGTGCCTCGCGTCCTGTTGGATGCGACTGCGGCCAGGGTATTGGCAGTTGTTTTGACGTTTTTGCGTTGGCGGTTACGGCTTCCCCTGTACGCTTCTAGTCAAATGATATTTTCCGGAGGGCTTCTGAGCCACAAGGCGTTCCACATCAGTACGAGCATGTGCCACCACAGCCGCAGGGCAGTCGTGAATCATTGCGCATTGTTGGGAATGGTTGCCGGATGACATGATCGTTTTGTTCCATGAAGGCGCATGGAAGGCATGTTGTGGACAAGGGAATGTTGTGAAGCATGATGATGAGCGAAGTCAGGCCTTTGTTGAAAAACCTCGCCAATATTGATCCGCGCCGCTCGGAGGCCGTTGCGGCCAAGTCCACGGCGGGTTTGGTCCTGGTCGCCGCTGCCAACGACAGGTCCAGATTTTCTGATGTTTGGGTGGATTCGATGGCTGTGCTGCTTCGACCCAGCGAGGGCGCTCAAGGTTGAAAGCCGCCAGTGGCGTAGAACTTGCCTTTACCGAATCAGAACGTCGCGATCGTTCAAGGTTCAACGGTCACGTTGTGCAAGAAACCAACACCGACGTTATCGCTGCGTGAACCAGCCATAGTTTGGGTTTATTAATAAGCGTGGTAGGGATCCCCCCGAAGGGGGTCAACCTCCCCTCGTCGTCGCGCCGCGACGGGGGTCGCAGCGCCTTCGGCGCGCGGTGGCTACCCGCGACGGGGGTCGATGTGGGGCTGTCGGCAGGGGTGACGCCCCCCCGACGTTTATTAATAAATTCGGAGTAGGGTGAGGGAATCTCCGATCCAATTCGGGACTGTCTGATGGCAGCGTGCAACGTTGCTCGGCCCAAGTGCGCCACGTCGGGAAAGCGTTTTTCGATCCAGCGTCGCTGCCGATATTGTAATGGCCTCCGGCCAGTGCCGCCGATCCGGGGCGCTCCCGATGCGTGTGGGGACGGACGATGACGGCGACGACGACGGACGACCGGGTCAACGACGGACGATGATGACGACGACGTCCCTCCTCCCCCCGCTGCCCTTCCCGATTTCTTGGACCCCCCCCCGCTTGAGCTCGACCCCCCCCTCCGTCCCCGCTCGAGCTTCCTCCTTGGACCCCCCCTCCCGCTTGAGCTCGACCCACCCTCGTCCTCTCTCGAGCTCCCCCCCCCTCGATTCTTGGACGTCCCCCCCTCCGCGCTGACCCCCCCTCCCGCTTGAGCTCGACCCCCCCCCCACCCTCGATTCTTGGACCCCCCCTCCCCCGCGCTGACTCCCCCCCCCCCCGCTTGAGCTCGACCCCCCCCCCGACACCCCCCCCGTCCGCTCGAGCTCCCCCCCCCCGATTCTTGGCCCGCCCCCCCCCTGCGCTGACCCCCCCTCCCGCTTGAGCTCGACCCCCTTCCGTTCGACCCCACCCCCCGTCCTCGCTCGAGCTCCCCCCCCCCTCCTCGATTCTTGGCCCCCCACCCCCCGCGCTGACCCACCCCCCTCCCGCTTGAGCTCGACCCCCCCCTCCGCCCTCGAGCTTCCTCCTGCGACCCTCCCCCAGTCGACCCCCCCCCCGTTCTCGCTCGAGTTCCCCCCCCCTCGATTCTTGGACCCCCCCCCCACGCTGACCCCCCCCCCACTTAAGCTCGACCCCCCCTCCGTCCCCGCTCGAGCTTCCTCCTGCGACCCCCCCCCGCTTGAGCTCGACCCCCCCCCGTCCTCGCTCGAGCTCCCCCCCCCCCCCCAGAGGGAAGCTTGAGCGAGCTCAAACCAACGCTCTCAGAAACTCACACGCCGGATCGGCGGATATCGAGTTGTATGGGGGTTTCTTGGATGCGCAGTGGGGGGAAGCACTGAGCTGCAATGGATCGAAGTGGGCTGCATTGGTTCCTACTGTCCCCTTTCAGGTGGTATTTGTTTTTCGAGCGCAACCTTAGAGTGGCGCGCCCCCGCCAGCCCTCCCAGCGAGTAGTCTTTCACTTCCCCACTGCGTGGTCCAAGGTATGCTGGTCTTCACTGATGCTGTCTGGTCTTCTCGTCTCGCGCGGTTGCCGTTTCGGTGTTATCCCGTGTTTCGTGTCGTTTGCGCGGGCGCGGTCTGCTTAGATATGATCGACACGGGACCTGGTACCTGATGGATGCGGACGTTTGCGAGTGCACCGCTGGCAATCGAAATGTGTGCGATTAGTGTATGGACTGCTAACCACTTTTATGGACTCCATTCTCGTCACAGTTCTCCGATCCGCGCCATCGAAATCGCCATTCATCCTACCGTGCAGCCTTGCCTCGTCTTCCTTGCTCCCCCGCCTCCTCCCTCCCTCTCCTGCGGCCTCTCCTGTCCCGTACCTCTCCCGTGCTAGCGCGCGTCCACGTCCGCGGGGGTCCGAACCGTCACACGTTGGCTTCGCACCCGGCCGGGGTCGGAGGAGGCGCACTGCGGATTGGGCGGGGAAGGGTGGTGCCGTAGCCATTTTGGTGCAAGCCTTGGCTCCAGAGCTCGCAATCCAGAAATCAGGTGCGCCAGCGCTGCACCCGCATGGCCCAGGTCCGCGCTTTGCCGCCGCCGACCAGGCCGTCGCTGCCACTGGGCCTGCCGCGGGAGCGTCCGCTTCGGCCTGCTCCTCGCCTCCGCAATGGGGGGCAAGGCGCGCGGGAAAGGCGGGGCGCGCAAGGGGGCCGACCGTGGCAAGGCATCGTCGGGCGTCGGCGACGACCCAGGCGACGCGCCCCGCAGCGACCACACCCTGCACTTCTCGGGGGCGGCAAAGAGGGGGGTGATGACGAGGGGGGGATATCATGGCGTGGGCCATGACATCTCCAAGATTTTATGACGTCTCTTATTATTTCAATACGTCTCCGGGCCTCCCCCCTGGGCCGCGCCCGTGCCGCCGGCGACGATTTGCGCCCCCCCCTCTTGGACGCCCCCTTCTTGGCCGCCCCCGAACTTCTACTCCATCGACGAGGCCCTGTCCTCCCTGCAGAAGGCCGTCCGGAGGGGCCACGGCCGGAACGCCGCCTTCTGGGCCGGTGAGCTGTACGTGTCAGGGCTGGCCTCCATTGCGCTGCGGCGGCTGCACATCATGACGGTGGAGGACGTTGGCCTCGCCTCGCCGCACGCGCCGTTCATCGCCGCGGCGGCCAAGACAATGTTTCTGTCGATGCCCGAGGAGGCCCGGGAGCCCTGCGCCGGCCCACTGGCGGAGCCGCCCCAGCAGCTCGCCTTCGTCTGCGGGCTGGCACACTGGGTGGCAACCCTGCCCAAGACACGCACCAGCTGCCAGCTGCCCTCGTTCTTGCGCGCGAAAGCCGAGGAGCAGCACCGTCGCGGGGCGCCCCTGGCGCCCTGCGGCGCGGGGGACGTCGGCGACGCGCTGGGGGCCCTGTACGCGGCGCTCGCGGGGAGGGGCGCCGCGGCCTGCGGCGACGGCGCGGAGCCCGACGGCGAGTTCCTCCTCCTGGAGGCGGCAGTGCTCCTGCGGGCGTACAGCTTCCAGCTGTGCCAGGTCAACGAGGCGCCTCCTCGGGTCATGAGAAAATCACGGCGGGAGCTTTTTCGCTACTTTCGTCCTCTGGCTCTGGGGGCTCCTGTCGGGCCTCGGCGCCGTCAAAAAGCGACTCAGCATGAGACTGGTCCCCGGGAATGGGTCGAGACCTCCAGGGGGTCGACGTTATGAACAGATCGTGACGTCGGGGTCTGGTCAGCAAGGCCGCGGCCCTGGGGCCGCTGTTCGAGGAGCTGGGCCGGCGCATGCGGGCGGAGGAGCAGCGGCTGAGAAGCGTGGCGCCGTCCGCCGGGGCCGCGGTGGGAGGCGGCTCCCAGCCGTCGCCCGGCGGCGCCCGCTCCGCCAGTGACGCGCTGTCGGGGTATGGCGCCGTGCGGAAGATGGTCTCGGACCTGCAGCACCTGTCGGCCGGCGCACTGGCCTCGGCGGCCCGGATGGTCCTGCACCAGGCCTTGCTGCTCGCCACCAGGGCGCACCACCTCGTCCGCGCGGGCATCATCGTCACGCCGGGGCTGGCCTCCGAGGCCCTCGGGCTGAGCCGCCGCGGCGCTGGCGAGGGCGTCCTCCACCCAGGCGACGTGGTCACGGTCTGCGGCAGCTGCCGGCTGCGCCGAGTCGACGGCCGGGCGCTGGCGAGGTGCAACGCCCGCGACCTCTGCCAGCACGTGCGCCCAGTCGCCACCTCGGGCCCCGGGCAGCCGCTCCCGCTCGACCTGCAGGCCTGCGTGCGGTGCCTCGTGCAGCGCAGCGCCCGCCTGGTTCCCCGCGACGTCTTCGAGTGCCTGCTCCGCCCCGCGTGCGACCCGCTGGGCCGGTACCTCTGCGTTCCGCCCTACTGCGTCGACGTCCACACGCGGAGGGGCAGCGGGTGGCCCATGCACGAGGAGTGGGAGTCCAGGATTTGCGCGCAGTTCCCCGCGCTCACGGCGTGGGACGCCCAGGAGGTGTCCAAGACGCACGGCGTGCTGGACGCGGACGGCCGCGCGATGGCGCGCCAATTCGGCCGGTACGGCCTCATTGTGGCGGACGAGTATTTCCCGGGCCCGTCGCGCCCAACCTTCGACATGGAATTAAAGCCCACCGGCTTCGAGCCCTCTCGGGTCGCCTTGTCGGTGGCGGCCCTCGACCACGGAGAGACCTTCGTCGATCGCCGCAGTTTCCCCGGGGGCTATTCGGCCCCTTGGCGGGCCACTGCGCAGCCCGCCGCTCCCGACGCCGGGGCCGAGAGTGGCCCTGTGGTCGATGCTCAGGCCCAGCCTGGGCGGAACGCCTCAGAGGCCATGCGCGCCGCCTTTGCCGGCCTGCCTGCGAACGACGGCCCCTACTGCGAGTGCGCCGACTGGGACTTCTACGTGAGCCCCGCCACGCCCCAGGATCCCTTCTTCGAGGCCATCAGGACCTTCGGCCAGTGGGCGGGCGAGGCTGGCTTCCCGTCCCGCGCGGACTTCCCGGGCGGGAGGCTGCCGCAGGTGCTGGAGAGCCGGAAGAGCAGCACCATCAACGACGACCCCCAGGCGAAGGGCGGCTCGCTCACCCAGGCCGAGTATTTGAGGTGCATGGTCGACGATCAGGCGAATAGTGCCGCCCGCGTGGAGGAGCGCAGCGCGCCCATCGACGCGCGCGTAAGCGACGTGACAGAGCTTCACCGCGCGCGGATGCACGAGTCGCTGCTGAGAGAGAGGCCTGCGCCCCCGGCGGCGACGGAGGTGGCTCTGGAAGACTGTGCGCAGCAGCCAGGGCCGCGCACGGGGAAGACCCCCGACGGCGCGCCGGCGGAGCCCAGGCGGTGGAAGGCCTTCGGCGGCGCGCTGGCGGACGCCCCCGCTGGCGCGCCTCGCGCGGGAGCCGACGGCGTGGCCAGCGGGAGGCCCGCCGAGGGCACGGGTGCGCTCCTGGACTGTCGGCCTGCCGGCGAGGGCGGCGGCGGCGGCGCGGCGGCGGCGGCGGCCGGGGCCCCTGGAAGGAAGACCCGCTGGGGCAGGAAGTGAGGGCCAGCAGTCGTCGAGCCGTCGGGGAGGACAGCGTCAGAGTGGCAGCGCGGGCTAGCCGTGAATCGAGCTATGCACGGACGGCTGTCGTGCATTCGCGGGGCCCGCCGAGGGCCGGAGCGGCTTAGCTGCTTTCGGCGGGCGGCCTAAAACTTAGAAGCTCGGGGAGGGGGAGGATGGGGAGGAGGGATGGGACGAGATTCACGCGGGTTCCAGTCGGAGGGATCGAGTTGTAGGGGCGTGTTGCTTTGGCTTCCCGTTGGAGCGGGAGGCCCGCAGTGGTGGCGCAGTTCAGATCCGAGCCTTCACCGCGTTCATCGCTGCAGAGGGGAAGGGTGGCAGGACATGTGAGGGAAAGGGACGGAGAGCATGTAGCTTGTTCTGGCCTTCTCGTTGTTGGCCTGGCTTGTTCGTAAGTGGTTAATTCTGCCCTGGTGGGAGCATGTGGTCCAGTCTGTTCTGATATAATGTAGGAATTCGGTTCGTAAATGACGATTTAGTTAGTAATTACCCAGAATCCATTTTGTTGAATCGTTCCCTTTATTTTTTAATTAATCGTCATCCTGCATTAAGTATGGCACTGTCTGGTGTGACCTGTGCAAGAGCTTCACGGTCTGAGCGTGCTCCGACGCCCGCGGCTTTCTCTCCCCCCTTCCGCGCCTCCCCCTTCCGTGTCGGGGGCCTCGAGGCTTTGGTTTCTTCCTTCGGACGCGTTTTTGTTGTTCCCCTCTCGGGATTTTTCCCTCCTCTCGGGGGGGGGGGGGGGCCAGGGTGGGCGGCCTGGGGGCCTCGAGGCTTCTGTTTTTGTCCCTCGATTCTTGCCTCGGACTCGCGGACTTTTTGCCTCGCGGCTCTCCCCCCCCCCCCTCCCGCGAGGCCTTCTCTTTCTCCTTCGGGGGGAGGGGCACGGGGGGGGGCGGGGGGGGGGGCCAGGGGCCTCGAGGGCGGCGGGGAGGCACCAGAGGGGGGCCCCGGGTGGGGGGCGGAGGGAGCTGCCTGCATCGTCGGGCGGGGCGCTCCAGGAAGGGCACCCCCGGGGTGGAGCCGGGGAGGCACCGGAGCGTGCCGGCTCGCTTCCAGTGTATCGTGTGCTGCCAGCGCGCGAGCACCAGTAAAACATCAAGGGAGCCTATGGCAGATAGCACTTGTGGAGCACATCGGGAATTGTGGACAAGAAGCAGTTTAGCAATCACAAGCATCAAGTCATGACAGACAGCGAAGCAATCAAAGGAAAGCACCAGAACCGAGTAGCGACGACAAGCGATGAACATCAGCGAAGAGTTTACGAGAAATGGACGCGAACGAACATCCATCAACAAGCAACAACTACAAAACAGTTGTTAGACAAGATAACATTTGTATTACAATTCCAAGGCAGATGAAAACGATGAGGAACAGTCGAGCATGAATGTCGAAAGACACATAATTCACGAAGCCTCGGAAATTCTGGCGAGCATGGAAAAGCAAATCGACGAACATCGAAAGTTGACGAACTCGATGAAACTACCCTCCCGACGATCATCAACACAAACATCGATGAACATGAGATTGCGGCGAAGTCGTCGAACAAAGCAAAAAGCAATCCACGAAACGTGGGCGACGCCCCCCCGAGGCACCCAGTCATCCCCCAAGGCCCGAGAGGCCACCCCGAGCAGCCGGCCTTCGTTGGAGGCGGAGGCTGTTCCGCAGACGGGTGTTCGGTGATGCGGGCGGCGACCGGTGGGCCCCGGGCGGGCTCGGATGCTTCCTGCAGCTCCTGATGCCGCCATCTCGCAGCAGGAGGCCGTGTGGCAGGTGCGCGCTGCGCGGGAGACGGAGGCCAGGGAGCAGATCGGTGTTGTGCTGGAGACTGGTGCTGGGCAGCGGAAGGGCGTCGTGTTTGAGACGGCAGCTGGTCTGCAGATGGGCGTCGCGCTGGAGGAGCGAGCGGGGCGAGCGGCGGGCGACGGCGGGCTCGGGCTTTGAGTGCCATTCCTGAGGATCCGCTCCTGCAGCGGTGTTTGTGTCGGGGACGGGGGCTGTGCAATCCCGGGGCGTCGTGTTCTAGACGGAGGCTGCTGAGTACTGCTGGATGTTGTGCTGGGAGACAGGCTGGTGAGTATATGGGTGTTGTATGGGAGCGGGAGGCTGTGTAGTGGATGGGTCTCAGGTTGGGGACGGCGGCTGTTGAGTAGACGGGTGCTGTGTAGGAAAAGCGAGCGGGGCCTCCCGAAATATCTCGCCTCTCGGGCTTCTTGCGGGGTTCGCAGGGGCGGGAGCCTCCCACTGCTTCCTTAGGAATGGTTGACCGCCTGGCCGTGTCTGCAGCTGCCGCCGGCATGGTGGGACGCACCCCTACTCGATTGCTCAGGAGTGGTTCAGCCTTCTTGGTCAGCCATGTGCGTTCGTCCTGGTTGGCCTGCAGCCTAGCACGCTGGACTGCTTGCGCAGCCCTGCGCTTCGCCACGTTCGGTGGCGCGTCTACCTCTGGCGCCTAGTGCGACAAGGTTCAATTCGTCCTCTTCCTGGTGGTCTCGCTGTTGGGATGCCCGCACGCTGGCCGCCTGGCTCTCCTGGCAGCTATCGCAGCCTGCCTTCAGCCCCCGGCGCCCCTCAGCCTCCCTCGGCGGCAGCCTCGGCAGCCGTGAGTGCGTCCGCTGGGTAATTAGGCTTCGCCAGTAGCCTGGGTTGACCTGTGACGCCGCCTGCGCCTTCGCTTGCGGCTGCGACGGAAAAAGTATCTTTGCCCGCCCATCCAGAGACGATGCTCTTGGTAGCTAACGGGAAAAGGGAGGAAGAGACACACATCGTGTAACAGCGCGGGTAACATGGGTGGATCGAG